GGGGGGGGGGGGGGGGGATGTTGGCTAAAAGAATTATATTGAGACATTGGAAAAGTAATATTATTCCAGATGTTTTAAGTTTAAAGATTGTTTTGTTAATTGTGTATTTTTTTAGTGTATTTAGTTATTGTGTCATTTTTTTCTTGTAGTTTATAATTAATATTTTAAAAAAATGAATAAGAGCACAAGCACATAGGTGTTTCAGAGTTATTTTGTGTGATCAATTGCAAAAAAGCAGTACTTCATCTACTGATCTTAATTACTTATGTTCCCACTCATCCAAGTTTTGGGCTGTGGCTTGTCAGCTCTGCCAAATGATCCTTCAGTTATTCAGGCCATGAGTTTTATCTGGATCTTTTCAACAGGCTTCTATGCCACTGTTTGCTTTGCTATGTTTTCTTCTTGTGGACTGGCTAATGATTCTATTACAGATTTGGTGGATGGATGGATGAAATCTCATCTCAATTCCAACTCCTTTCATAGCTATAAGCAAGCTTCCAGAACGAAGATTTCCGGAACCATGTGGCATTGAACTATGTGGCATTTACTCTGAAGGAGAGTCAGTGTGGTGTAGCACTTATTGTGTTGAATTTAGAGCCAGAATTTAAAGACCAGGGTTTAAATCCACTCACAGCCATGTAAATTCAAGAGTAACTTTGGGCAGTCACTGTCTGTCACCCCAGCTTACCCGACAAGGATTTTGTTGTGGAAAAAAATTAGGACAGTATTGTGTTCACCACTTTGAACTCCCAGTAAGAAATGCAGGATGTAAATCAAATCAAATCAGATCAAATCAATCAACTTTTAAAACGGAGTTCCAATTTAGGCTTCCTAAGAAATGCAATTACATTAAAAAAAAACAACAAAACCTTTGGAAGTTTGTCTTGCATGGTCCTTTGTTTTATTTCTTTTTGTTCCTGGCTGAATACAATTATTAACATTCTGTGGCTATAAAATGGCATGGAATAATAGTGCAAGGCACTCCGTTACTGCAGATTAATGGAGCAGATTAGAAATAGGGCTGTTTATGGAATTTGGCTTGGCTAAGGTGTCCAAATTTTGAGGATTCCTTTGATCAGATATGGTCTTTAAATGCTTTCTTGAAAAAAGGTGGTTCTTCATAAGTGTAGGCTTAAGAAAAGTACACACTTAGAAAATGAAAGACAATTTTAGTTTTAAAAAATACAAAATCCACTTTAATGTATATGTATCATGTCAATAATCAGGGTGTGCTTTGCACGGTCTCAGTATTTTGACACTGTAAGGACTTATCTACATAAACTATGACTGACCTTACAAAATCATAAATGGTACCTGGAGAAATGCAATGGAAAACAATTGCTCAGCGGAACAGACATTTTTCCTATATTCTTCTCTGCTTGGCAATGTTGCACAACTTCTATTCTTACCTAATTAAATCAGTTCTTTCCAAACCACTGAAACCCAAAGCACATTTTTTCTGAGCTTAACTCTACTTTTATGCCTGAAAAAAAAAAAAAAGACTTTCAGAGTATGTAAGAATTAGAATTGCTCAGCCTTGGAGAGAGACACATTCCTCTTGTCTCTGTGCCTGAATTATGGTACGTGCACATGTTCCAAAATGGTGCACACTCAGCAGACTGAACATTGATAAAAAAAATAAGCCCTCCCACAGATGGATTACTTTGTCCATTCCTAACCCATGCCATTTCTTTCTCAGCTCTTGTTTTATCCAGTCTTCTAAAGCAGAACACTTTGATTTCATATTTATCTTTATTTCCTTACTGGTTTAAAGGACTCATTAATTGTTTAAAACTAAAGATTTGTTATTCATCTTTAGCTGTACTCTACTTCACTTTTCATCTGTTTAAGGTCTGTAAATTCCTCTCTATTTTCTCTGGAAATGAGTTTAGGAGATATTTTTTAAGATCTATATTTCATGGTTTTTCCCCACCATCTTGTATGAAAACATATCTCGTCCTTTCCCTTGCCTCTTACAATAATGTTTATGGAATTACATTTGTCCAATCTCTTTAGTTTTATGTGGTTGAGCAGTTACAGTGCCAAGCAGAAAGCTTGCCACAGACATTCTTCCCAGATATCAACATTTAATCCAAAGGAATAGTAGTATGAGACAG